CTGGTAAGGCTGCCTGCTGATAGGAGCCCAACAGTAGTCCTGGCTGCTCCAGCCTGGCACAACTCCCCTGGGTGCCTCTGGTTCCTAGTGTGAGCGGTGCCAGCCCTTTCCAGTAGGCAGAGGAGAGCCCATTGCTGCCAGCAATTTCTCCCTTGTGCATCCTGGGTTTGTAAGGACTTGTCTCTTGGGATTCTTCTGGGGAAAAAAGGCAAGTCCTGTGGGCATTTTGTAATGAGACAAATTACCTGTGCCTGGAGTAATTTGGAGGTGCAGGAAGCGCTGTGCATGGCAGCTGACCTGTCCCTGGCATGGCGCTTGTCTACATTGTATCCCTTAAGATTTTGCCTGAAAATACTGCTAGGTGGCCACAAAGAAAGTTTACTCTTGGGGTGCAGTTACTCTGCAGAGGAGATCTTCTTAACACAACTTCTCTCTGCCTGCTTTCTGATGCAACCTGCGCTTAGTGCCCTGCAAGCTCCATCCCGGTACTCACAAATGGTAATGCTTAGTGTGGGGTGCCTTGTGGCCACAGCCAACATTTGGTGTGGGGCTGGAGGAGCACTGTGGCCCTGTCTTCTGCCTGATATTCTGGCTAAACCCACCCCTGGCCTGCTGAGGGTTCTTGTCATGGCAAGCCTTGGGCCTGGGGACAGTCCCACCCTGACCCTCCCCAGTTCCGCTGTGCCTTCTGCAGGGCTGGAAGCCTGGTTTGGTGCTCTAACACAGATCAGCCCAATTCAGATAGACCAAGAAGCCCTCTGGGGGTAAAGGGAGCCTGTAGGTGGACCATGCTAGGCGGCTGGTGTCCTTGCTGAGGGGTGGGTGGTACACAGGGCTGGGTTACGGGTGCCTCATCGTAGGAGGTGGCAGGAAATTAAGTGCCTGGACCAGCCACATAGGATGCTCTGAAAGGGTTGGGCAGTTGCTCCCTGGCCTTCCTGCGAACTCTGCTTCCTGGACCTCTGTATGGACAAAACCTGCTTGTGTTCAGCTGCTGCAGCAGAGGGGGGAGCAATGCAGCCAGGCTGTTACCTGCAGTCAGCAGCCCACTGGTATTCCTTTGCACAACAGCCAGCAGCAGCTATGAGATCCTCCTGCTGTGCCAAACCCAAACTCTCTGCCATGGAGCTGAGCTCAGACTGCAGCTGGGACTGGGGCATGCTGTACTACAAGACAGCGGCTATATCCTCACGATGATACTGTTGGGCACTGACCTGGCTGATCTTTTGCGGGCTCTAAAGGACACAGTACCATCATGTAATCTTCTGGGTGGTTATGTGGGAGAGGGGATTTTGGAGGGAGTGCAGGGGCTCTAGATTGAGGTGAGAGCATGGGAGTAGTCCTGATCTGGTCATTTCTTTTTGGGGTGGGGGAAAGGTGGGAATTTTTGCACCATCTGGAATGCAGACCAGGTGTTGGAGACCAGCTTAGGATTTCACAGGTACCTCCAAGGCCAGTTGTCCTGCAACATCCACATCATAATGCTGGCTGGGGGGTCTGGGCCATGCTGAACAGCACTGTCCCAGGCAGTCCCCAGAAGCTGTGGAGTGGGATTATTTCTGTCGCCAAGACCCTACTGTGGTCCAGGATGGGCATCAGATGGCCTGGGCCATGCCCTGTGGTCCACTCATGCTGTATAGCATTTATCAAGCGTGCACAGTGGTGTGGGTCTGTGCAGGCCTCTTCTGCCACTATGCTGCACCTCTCTGCTGCGTGTTGATTCCCCAGGCACTGCTTTGCAAGCTGAAGTTTGCAGTGAGCTATGGTGGGGAATGGATGTGCAGCTGGATCAGGAAGGGAAGGGCCTTCAGGGCTGCTGTGCTGCCTCAGGACTTGTCCATGGCCCCTTGGGTAATCTCTGCTGAAGGTGACCCATGACTTGGCTCCTACTGAAGGCTGGCTTTGTGCATGTAGCCTAGGCTTTCCAGGGTGCTGGGGGGAGCCAAGGTGCCCAGGGGCTCTGAGGCATCCCAGACAGGTGTGGGGAGAAGGCAATGGGTGTCCAATCCCAAGGTCTCTCCCAGCTCTCTTTCTGTACTGGGAGCTGTTGCTGCAGCCCAGGAGAAACACAGCAAAGATGAGAGGAATCCAAGTCTCACCTGTGACAGAGTAGGGAGGGCAGAGATGGGATGTGCATGGTTCGAGCCTGCTGGCACAGCATCCCTCCCAAGCACCTTTGTTGTTCTGATCAAACTCAGGTTTGCCCTCGTGCTTCTAGGAAGTCCTGGGAATCCCCTTGAGTAGGGTGCTGTAAATCTTTCGGGATGCCTCCTCCAGCCCTGAGAGTACAGAGTGTGGGGGGATGCTAAGTGCCCTGGCTGCTTGGGGACTATATCTCAGGGGTGTACAGTTTCAGGGCTGTGCCTGGGGATGAGGGAGCCTGGCTTTTCCAGCTGGTAATGGGACCCGCCCTGCTCTGCTATGGCTGCCATGGCCTAGTGGGCTCGGGGGAGCTCTGCCCTGTCACCCACGTGGGGAGGGTGCCCACAGCCTCCGTGTCCCATGTGGGTTGGCAGGAGTTTGTGGTTGAGCTAATGGAAAGTGCCTCTGCGGGGCTCCGTTCTGTTATCACGTGCCTCTTCTAATTCGGACTTCAGGGACTGCAGTGCCAAGGCGGAGGGGCGTTGCTCTCCTCCCTCCCCAGGCCCTGGGGCACGGCTGAGTGCCCGGGATTGGCTCCCCCTGTCCAAAATGGGCTGCCTTCCCTTTTTTAGCTGTTCGTTGAGCTGTGAATTCCTCATTCCTGGCAGCTTGACAAGCTGGGAACAAGGCTTAGCACGTGGGAGAGCTGGGCCCACCAGCCTGCAGCGGGAGGGGTGGGAGTGTGGCAGCCTTAACTCTTCCCAGGCGTGCCGGCAGCTGTGGCGGGGCACGGGGACAGCAGGTCCCCTGTGGCCTCTGGCACGGTCTCCTGTGGAGCAGCGTATTTGCAGTCTGCTCTTGGCTAGCTGAGCAGGGCAGGAGAGGGGCCATGGAGACCGTGGGTATCCAAAAGGGGGATCTGGGGGAAGGAGGCGTGTTAGGTGAAGTGTGACTGCCAGGGGCGGCAGGGATCATGCTGGGCTTGGTTGGTTCCTGCAGATCCAAGCCATGTGCAGCCACATGCTTTGTGGCTGCGGAAACCAGGGTGTTATGTGCCCTGCAGCCTGGCATACACGTTCCTCCCTTGTTCCCAGACCCAGGAGGCCAACGCTGGCCCAGCACAGGGCCCTTTTCCTCCTGGTGCTCAGCTTCACTGGCGATGGTGTCCTCAGACAGGCATAGAGCTCCGACGCTCCTTGCAGGACCCTGGTACGTGCTGGCTGTAGCTAACATGCGGGATCCTTGGAAGCACTTGCCTTGTGCCCATCCACTTGCTAGTGGAATGGCAAATGGGTGCTTCCATTGGCCAGGTTCTCTCTGGCTAGGTTCTCTCCTTTGCTCCAGGAGATTTGTGGAGGTATTCCCCAGGGCCTGCCAAAGCAGCGGTCAGGGCTGGGTTTGGGCCTTCCTGGTGTCTGGGTTTGGCCTTACTCACCTCTCCCTTGCTGCTTTCGGTGTACAGCTGCCTTTAAGAGCCAGTTCTCGGCTGTGTGTTTCCTGCCGTAAGGGAAGTGGTGTGTGTTCCTGAGAGGAGACAGTGTGTTTGCCTTTATGTCTGTCCCTGCAAGGACTGCTTTCGCCTGTTGTGTGCCAAAAGGAGGCTGCTCCCTTCTTGGAGGCTGTGGGGGACTCCGAGGGAGGGGAAGGGTTGCTTCGTCTCCTGGTGTCTTGCAGGGAAGTCTCTCAGGGGACCTGTGTGGCCCTGGGCTTGTATCCAAGGTTTACGCTGAGCTCTCTCCAGCTCTCCTCATGCTGCATTATTGGGCACAGTCTCCTCGTGTTTGTACAAGCAGCTCCTCTCTGCTACCCTGGCTCTGCTCCACGTGCTGGCAGCAGGCTGTGGGGTATGGTTTAGCACGGGGATGCAACCTACGGAGCCTGGTTTGGTTTTGTAGGCAGATGTTGGCCAGATCCAAGGGCTGGTCTGAGTTGTCACAATCTCTCCTTCCCCAGGACGCACTGAAACCAGCGTTCACTGTCACCAACCTGCCGGGGACAACGTCCACCATCCAGACAGCCCCCACCACCTCAACCTCCATGCAGGTCAGCAGTGGCCCGTCATTCCCCATCACTAATTACCTGGCGCCAGTGTCTGCCAGCATCAGCCCCAATGCCGTCACCAGTGCCAACGGGACAGTGCTGAAGACTACTGGAGCCAGTGCAGTGACATCTGGGGGCCTCATGCCGATACCCACCGGCTTCACCCTCATGTCAGGTCAGTGCCTTTAGGGGCCGAGGACTGCATCCATCCGTCTCTGCACCTGGAGTGTGTTGCTGCCCTCTCCAGAGGAGAGGAGACCTAGTGGCAGGAGGAAGCAGAGTGGTTGCTGCTGTAGGGTGAACCTGGCTGGCATTCCTTGCTCAAGCCCCGCCAGGCCAGTGGCTGGAGAAGGGTCATGTAGTGACTTTCTTTAGAGTACTGCTAGCTGGCCCTGCGGCTGGGAAGGGCGTGGTGGCAGGGAGCTGAGCTGGGACCCCAGGGCAGCACCAAGAAGCCTGGAGGGAGTGAAAAGAGCTGGTGGTGACAAAGCCTTTCTTTCTCCCTCCTTTCGGCAGGTGCTTCCCTTTCTCCGGGGACCCCTACCATTCCTCTCACTCAGTTACAGCCGCACTCCCTGGCTCTTTCCAGCCAGCAGGGCCAGGTGGTCACGGGTACGGCTGGACAGCTGCAGCAGGCACAACAGACAGTCTTCCGCTTCCCTGCCAGAGCTGGAGGGCAGATCGTGTCGCTGACAGGTCAGCACTCGCTTCTCCTCCGCTTGCTTGAGGTGGGGGGATGGAGGCGTCTGTGGGGGTCCTGGTCCTGGCCAGAGAGCTGACCCCCAACTGAGGTGGGAGCACAGAGGAGGCAGAGCACAGGGCACCCTGTCTGTGGCTGCGGGCGAGAGGTGGGAAGACAGGGCAGAGAATGCTTGGCATAGGCAGGAGCCGCATCCTGGGGGGATACAGACCAAGGGAAGCAGCGGGTTGTCAGTCTCCTGCCCCGGGGTTTGCCCTACGGCTAGCAAACGCAGAGGAGATGGGTCCCTGGTGCAGCTGTGCTGAGGCTGAACTGTGCTGCTGGGAGGACTGATGGAAGGAGACCACAGGGGCTCAGATGCCCAGTGGATGTTTTTTGAGTGCTGGCATTTGGCTCTGAGCAGCTGCCCTTGCTTTTGTATTTGGATCTGCAGTTAGTCACTGAACCACAGTGCAGAGGGTAGATTAGGAGAGACCCACAGCAGAGGAGGGAGTGGTGCTGCTGTGCTGCCTTGTGTGCGTTGTCCTTTGTAGGAATTTCTTGTTGTGCTGAGTCAAGGCTCTCCAGGTGTTATACTGGGGCTGGACATGCTCCTGGCTGGAGTTTCAGAACAGGGCTAGGCTCTCTGTTGCAGGGGCAGCCATCATCTGAGAACCAGTGCTGAGAGTGAGACAGTATTTCTTGTGTCCTGCCTGTTCGTGCCCCAGCCGATGAGTCTGATAGGCTGCGTGCTTTCTTGGAGCCCTTATGGCTCCCCTGGGCCCTGGCAGACAGAGTGATCCCATGCAAGGGGACTGGATTTCCCTTGTGATCTGGAGGAGCTAAGAGAATAATGGACGTGTGTCTCTGTGGTGTGGTGCGTGGGGAGGTGCCCAGTCTGAGCGAGGTGGCCGGTGATTCCGGCTCTCTGGCATCCCTTGCTCTTCCCTCTGGAGACAGGACCTGAGCCTGCGGGGAGCTTTCTGTGCTGAGCTCCGTTTCTGGAGTTGAAGAGCTTTGCAGCGAGTGGGCTGGGCCGGAGGCTGTGTGGCCGTGCCACTGCAGCTCTGGGATGCACACCTTGTGACCCAGTGGTCTCTAATTCCTGTGTTAGGGCACTGCGATGCCCTTGAGATCACAAGCTGGGTGAGATAGCTGTTCCCCAAGTGCCCTGTGGAGGATGGGGCTGGGCTCCGGAGTGTGAAGGCAGCGGGGCCCAGCCGGCCTGGGCATTTGGGCTCTCGCAGTTCTGCTTGGTGCAGTGAGATGATCCTTGCAGGGCTGGCTGAGCGTGGGCAGTGCTGGGGGCATGTGCTGGGCCCTCTTCTCCCAACATCTTCTGTGCTGTGTCTTGGTGGAGCCAGGAATGGTGAGGAGGGCCCCAGACATTCCTGAACAATGCCTGAGAGCTGGACAAAAGCTGCTGTGGCCTTTCCTTTTCTCCCTCGAGCCCTGTAGGGCAGCTAACCCCTCCTTGGCCCCTGTGTGCCAGGAAAGAGCAGGTTTTGGCCTGCTCTTTGGGGCACGGCCTGGTTTCTGCCACGTGCTGGTTTTGGCTAGCCTTCCCCAGCGCAGTGCAGAGCCACACTGCGGTGCTCTGTGCGGCCAGAGAAGGACTGGGGGGCTTTCGCATGGCCCAGAGTACCTGTATCCCTGCTGAGCCACAGGCTCATGGGCTCCTCTCTCTCCCCAGGTGGTACCATGGCTCAGCAGGTCCCAGTCCAGGCAATCCAGGTGCACCAGGCACCGCAGCAAACGTCTCCCTCTAGCGACAGCAGCACTGACCTTACCCAGACCTCTTCCAGCGGAACAGGTAATTGGGACATTACAGTAACCCTGTTCTGTCTTCCTTCCTAACCACTGCTGATAACAACCCACACCAACAGACCTCACGCCTCCTCCCTGCCCAGGCTCCTTCTTCAGGCCAACTCTGTCCCGAGTTGCCTTTCTGACAGTTACCCAAGTGTATTTATCCCTGTTGCCAGCCTCTGTGCTATGCTATATCTAGGTAGATGCTGCCACGCAGAGGGCACCTTACAAGCAATTTCAGAGCCTCTCCAGATACGTCATCTGCTCTTACTTGCAGCGTGGAGCTGGGAACAGGTTGCCCAGTTCTCAGATGGTTTCTTAGTGGGCCAGCATTGCCCCTAGCACAAGGCATTGTCTCCCATCTACTTGAGATTTTTACTGTATAGGCAGGGGACACCTCTGTTGTCAGCAAAATCTGAGTTCAGGTGCCTGGATGCAGGCTGAATCCAGTTCAACAGCTTTATTAAGGCTTCATCAGGAAACTTGTATCTCAAGTTGAATTCAGTCCTGGGATATTTGGCTACTGTGCTTTTCTGTCCTCTCATACTCATGAAAGGAGAGGTTTGAGCTCTCCCGCCTGTTCCCTGGGGCTTTTCCACAAGAGCTTGGGATAACAAGACGGGTGTCTCCATGCACCTGCTGCTTCAGGACAGCATGCCAAGGGCGGCTGAGGGTGGGGTGCTGAGCAGGCACGTGAGCGTAGCAGACTCCTTTCATCTGGCTGACATATAGTCTGTCCTGGTGCCAGTGACCCTCCCGGCAACCATCATGACGTCGTCTGTGCCAACCACGGTGGGTGGCCACATGATGTACCCCAGCCCACATGCGGTGATGTACGCGCCGACATCTGGCCTTGCAGACGGTGGACTTGCAGTCCTCAACGCTTTCTCACAGGCGCCCTCAGCGATGCAGGTGTCCCACGGCCAGGTCCAGGATCAGGGTAAGACAGCTGTCTGGGTCAGTGCTCCCTTAAGTGCTCTGACACCCTGATTTTTCTTGTCTCGCATGTATTTATGCTGTATATTAATTTCAAAGAATTTTCTTCTAAGCAATCCTAGTGGCTGTACAAAGGCCTGGCAAGGGTGATGCTTGATGCATGCTTTTAGATCCTGCCATTCTCCTATGCAGAGGATTGCTTGAGCCATTCGCTGGGGAAAAAGGGTGAGGGTTGCTGGGATGGGTGGCATAGGCAGCAAGAGGGGAGCTAGGAGACTCTGGAGAGGATGTGTGGTTGCATGACAGGCAAAGCAGCATGAAGCCATGTGGGCAAGACTCTGATTGAGAGCTTGTGCCTCCTTCTCCCAGCATTTGGAAAACTAGCATATGTGGCTTTCTACTGGGATGCCTCTGCATGCAAACAGGCACTTTCATCCTTGTGAAGCTCCACAGAGCTCAGAGAAAGGACTCATGGGGGACCACTGTTTAAGGGACGGTGTCATTTGTGCGCTCTCTCTGTGGCAGGTGGCGTCCCCCAAGTGTTCCTGACAGCCCCATCAGGCACCGTTCAGATCCCAGTCTCGGCTGTCCAGCTTCACCAGGTAGGCACAGAGCGGTACTCGCAGATGTTCAGGGGGTGTCCTTGCTCTGCCCCTGCCTGCACATCCTTTGTGGGTCTGGGCAGACCCAAGCCCTTGGGTAGGGCAAGTCCTCAGGTCTGGGAAAGCTGTCAGTGCCATCCACCCTTGGGTGAGGAAGTCTTGCCCTCCTTGGACAGGTGGCCGGAAAGGACAGTGCCACCCAGGCTGCTGGCACACATGGTCTCAGGGCATGCTGTCCCCCAGTGCTTCCTCCTCCCTTTTCTCTCTAGATGGCTGTCATCGGGCAGCAGAGCAGCAGTGGCAGCAGCCTGACGGAGCTGCAGGTGGTCAACTTGGACACCTCACACAGCGCCAAGAGTGACTGAGAGGCCTCTGCTGCCGGCCTTGTGCTTTCCCTGGCTTGTCCTGCCGGTGCCGGGGCTGGTGGCAATTCCTTCTCGTACAGACTGCACCAGTTATTTATTGTTGCCTTTTCACGTTTCCTTCATCCACACATGCACACACACACACACGCACCCACCCACCCACACACACACATACACACAAGCATGCGCGTGGGGCTGCAGGACCCACCTGGGATGGAGCTGTGCTGGGGCCATGCAGGGCTTGGGGGCGTTTGGATGCTGCAATAGCTGTGCTTGTCTCATGCCAGCCAAAGAAACTTGTCTCTAGAGGGGAGGATCGCTCTGCGCTGTAAATAAATACTGCGGGCCATTCCCAGCTGGAGGCTCTGGCTCCTTCTGGGCGCTCCGAGTCACCTTGCCCATGAGTGTTTGCTCTGCGTGGAGCTCAGCTCAGACCTAGAGCCATCCTGTGGGTGCATCTCGGAGCGGAGCGGGCCGAGGCTGTGCTGCTGGCCTCAGCAATGTGCCTTTGTGGGGGTGACAGGTCCTGGCCGCAGCAACTCACCCTGGGCTCCAGACAGGGGAGAGTGGCCAGCTTGCGTGTGCATCTCTGGTTGGGCCTGCGTGCCCTCCCTCTGCGGCACGTGGCCCCGTTCTCCTCGTATGCACTACAGTGAGCCCTCTGCCCTCAGTGCCTCCTCGCTGGGCTGCCTGGCAGATTTGCAGCCTGCCTGGCTCTGCCCCGGTGGCTGCCCTCGCACAGCTGAGGTGGTCGGTGGATGCCCAGGAGCGCAACGATGGCCCGGAGAGCTCCTGGGGGCCTCTGTGGCCGGCCCAGCCCCGCACTCTCCTCTCAGCCCTCGCACTGCTTGCGGACTCCATACACCCAGGGGAACGTGGCTGGGTCTTTCCCACATTGCCCTGCAGCTCCAGCCAGCGCTTTCTAAGTTTCTGTGTCTGATGCAAGGTGGAGAAACAACTCAAGTGTCAAAGGGAAGAGCCCACGGGGCACTGAGCTGCTGGGCAGGTAGCAGGCTCTTCCTCTGAGCCCCAGGGTGACCTGCAGGCCATCCTGGGCTGTGGAAGAGCAGCTGTGAAGCCTGTGCAGGCTCAGGAAGGCCGGGGGAGAAAGGCTGGAGCACGCTTGGTCCTGCATGGGAGTGGCTGTGAATGGCTCTGCTACCTAGCCCTGTCCCTGGAGGGAGAAGTGAGCAAGTGAGAAGCTGCTGAATCCTTAGGGGAAGAAGCAGCTACTGTAACTTTTTTTTTTTTTTAAGTTAAAGACAAAAGAAGCCTTGGAGAAAAAAGAAAAAAAAAAAAGGAAAAAAAAAAGAAAATGACTTTATTTTTCTAAGTGTTAAACTCAGTATTTATGTAATTCTTTAAGGAATAAAAGTTTGGCTCCTGTACAGTTTTCATGGGGTTTGTACCAGGGGGATGGGAGAGGGGTGGGTGGGCATGGAGGCAGGAAAGGGGCCTTGCTTTTGAGTTTGTATTGTAATCTTGGACATGTTCCCTCAGCATTAGCGTTTAAGCTGCGCTCTCCACCCCCCAGCATGTGCCAGGGATCAAGCTGAACCAAGCGGGATGTTTGTTTCCCACTTACCTGTACTGAGGACTCCATACCCATCATTTTGGGCTTATTGGGCAGAAGGCAAGCGAAGCAGTGGCTGGTCTCTAGAGGTGGGAAACCTATCCCTCAGGAGCAAGAGGCTTGCAGTGTGCCTGGGAGCCAGAGATGGGCTGGGTTTTCTGATGGCCACCCTGTTCACCTCTGGTCCTGGGACCTGCGGCTGTTCCGTCGCTGCTCTTGGTGTGGAGCAGTGCTACCTGTGACTGCCTAAGGGATATGGGCATCCCCACTCCTCCCTGGGTGGTGAGTGGCCAGCAGTGGCTGACCCCTGCTTACGGTGCAGGTAGCATCTCCTGAACTCCTAGCTGATGATCTGGGCTGTGGTTCCCTCTCTACGGCCGTTCCTTAGTGCACAGATGTGGACAGGTGCCCTCCAAACCCCTGGTGCAAAGAGCTCCCGGAATGGTCTTTCAGCCCTTGGTCTGTTACGCAGCCTAGGAAGGGCTTGCGGGGAGTGGGGTGTCCCATCTGGTGAGAGTGACGTTGCATGCTGCCTCCCCTTACTATCCTTGCTCTAAGAGTGATGTGTACCCCGCAGCTCGGAGCACGTGGGAGTGCTGTGCCATGCCCCATTGCTAGGTGTATGAAAGCTGCTCAGTGATGCTTCCAAAACAAGGCTGGGTACCTAGGAGTTCATCCAGGGAGAAGGATGGGGTTGGCACTGTCCTTTGCCCCAGCACATCACTGTGGCCTGGCTTTGCTCCGCTTTGCTTGTGCTAGCACTGCGGAGCAGAGCCGTTGGGCCAGGATGGCAGGAGTGACCCTGCTGCTGCAGGGTGTCTGACTGCATCCCCTCCCTGGCTCCCCAAAGGCAACTGCTGGTTAAACGCTAATGGTGTATTTTATTTAAGTGCAGACTTGTAAGAACACTTGTGTATCAGGGATGAAATGGCATTTATCGTGTGGTGATATTTTTAGTTCATTTTACTGGTTTGAGGGGTGTGTGTGTGTGTGTGCGTGCGCGCGTGTGTGTGAACGCATAAGTGTGTGTGGGATTATTTTTTTTTTTCCCCTCCAGTTTCCAGGGTTGTGTTTCTGGAAGGATGTGGAAGTAATCACAGTACTATGTACAGAGCTTTCTTTTGTATTAAAAAAATTTACTCTTTCAATAAATGTTATCATTTTGTGCACAGATTTGGGATCTTGGCCGTGCTTTGCGGGAAGGGCCGACACACACGCCTTGGGGCCAATGAATGGGGATCAGAGGCAGATTCCTGCATCTGTTTGTGTACTGTGGAGGGTGGGGGGCTGTCTGGGCATGATGTGGCAAAGAGGTGCTCTTTGCAAAAGTCTCCATCCCCACTGCCTCCTGCACAGGTGAGACCTGACCAGCTGGACTTCTACCCTGGGAGTCCCAGAGCCAGCGGGTGGGCCAGCAGGGGCCTGTGGTGGACAGCACGGTTGTGAGGGCTGTCCTTTCTGAAAGCTCGGGAACAGTGCCGGTGAGCAGGGCATGGTGTCAAGTCAAGAGAAATAAAAACCCGAAATGAGGAGGAATGGGGACTTTTGAAAAAGAATTGTTCCAATTCATGGGTGTTAACAGGGAGGAGCAGGAGGACTCAAGCAAGAGTTAAAACACGGAGGACAAACAGCCCATGTTGCTTATGGAGTAGTTAGGCAATAACTAAGGCCTAGGAAGAGGAATTTTTGCCATTGTAATATCAAAGAAAAGATGATCCCTATGCCTGTCCCCAGGTGGATTATATATTTATATATTGATAAACTACCCCAAACCAAAGGAGGAAAGAGATATTTTTTAGTAGCGACGGAGGTATTTCCAGGATAGACAAAAGTTTTGTATGAAGATGCTGCTGTTAAGGTGGTGTTTACCTGATATGGGATTCAGTGGGTAAGTGATACTGGCCAAGGCCCTGTCATCATGGGCGATGTCATGCAGCTGGCCTCTCCGAGCATCCAGACATGGTGGTTGGTGTGTGCAGTACCATCCCCAGGCCTCTGGACAAGGAGAAAGAACAAACTGGGCTTTAAAATAAACCAGTTGAAAGGCTGCGGACAGAACAGCTTCTTCTTACATTGACAGGTGTCTGATCCAGGTCTCATGAAAATGAGGTTGGTTTCCCTCCCCTCTTCCAAGTCCATTACTTTTGGACATCTGATGTCTTTAAGAATGGAGCTTAACTGCTGTCTTTGTAAGACCTAACACCAAGACTGTTAAATTCCCTGCAGAAAACTGCTATGAGCAGATAACAGTAATATTCAAAGTCCAAACTGGAGATGCGTTACTTAAAGTCAGGTCAAAGGCCGATGCCTGTAGGCCCCTAGAAGCCAGGTCAAGGGCACATGGGAGGCTCAGTAAAGTGGCTAAAGGTGGGAAAGAAACCAAAGGGAGAAGGGCTCAATCATCAGTGCTGCTGGGACAACAGCATGCCAGCTAAAAATGCAACTACTAGCCTCTACATAGCATCAGGTCCTGGAGCAGATACCAGTATAATGTAAGGGAAGCTTAGCGCTGATCAAAGTCTGTGCGGTGGAGGGACTGCACTATTCCTCACAGTGCAATTCGGAGAAAAGATATCTCAGGGTAGCAGGAGAGGAGAAGATTGTACAGAAAGTGCTTAGAAGCAAAACACAGCTGAAATGGCTCTCGCCATCGGGAGGGGAGGGGCTTCACTTTTACAGGTTACACCACAGCAGCCCCATGTTCAGCATGCTTACACAGATATGTCTCGTGGTTCAGCACCACAAAACCCTTATCAGCACAAGTAACCCCCATGTTACTTGTGCTCAGGAGTCTGTGTATGACATCTAAAACTCCTTACATGGAGCAAGATACCACAGACATTATTTTTAGGATGACTGACTAAGCATGGTATCAAGACCATCAGAGCCAAGACATAAGCAGGGCATATGAATACCACAGAAAACCTTTCAGCATGACAAACAAGATGCCCATGTCCTATCCGGCCACTGCCATTTATTATTGGTGACAATTTTGGCTATGGGACATTGCCAGCTGATGTTACCAGTCAGGCTGCATTTCCCACTGCAAAGCATTATCACCACCTCGTGTTTGCGACATTAAACACAGCAGTGTTACAGGTGCAGTACATACACAAAATAAGAGCTGCCAAGAACAGAGGAAAATGGCAATGTTTGTGCACGTGGTATCAGCTTTTATGTAGTTGTGTGGCATTTACGAAGTTATTTTCCCTTTCATTAGTGCAAATCTACTGTGTTTAATCTCTATGGGAGATGAAGGGACTTGTAAAGGCAACACATGACAAAACTAAACACCAGTTCGATCCTCTAAATTTTAACAATGCCTTGGGAGTTAATGGGGAAGGAAAATGACACGTTAATGGAAAACACGGAGGTTTCAAGAGCGTCCTCGTGATTCTGGAATGAGAGCATCATTAGAATCAACAGAGGTTACACATACTAATGGAGAAATCAAGAGGCTGGCTTGGAAACACAAACATTTACAGTCCACCATTGGTGCCACAGCTTTAGAGGATGGACCCCACAGACTGATGCAGCACTGCACTAATTTATCCAGCCTATAGTTAATTGCAATTATATTGTTTGTATTAATTGCTGATTGCTATGGTAAACCACAGAAATTGGCTAATCAGTTGCATTAGTACCGAGGGTAGAAATGA